TGGCTTTTGACTTGTTTTCCTCTTTCTCAACCCCCCTGCCCGTTTTTGTGTCCTTCTCTCCAGCCAAGAATTTGAGTCTGAGCAGATTCCTGAGCTAACTGTCCGTGACACTCACAGCGTGAGCTCCGTCTGCAAAATGTACTTCAGGGAGCTCCCGAACCCTCTGCTGACCGACCAGCTGTATGAGAAGTTCTCGGTAAGCACAAGGCAACGTCTTTCCTTTACCTCTTCCCTGGGCCTCTTGGGAGATGGCTGCAGCAGTGCCCCAGCTCTGAGGCCCTTTTTCTGTTAGCCCCGTGGGGTTTACTCGTATGTCTTTGCCACATCATGCATCATACGGATGCCATTTTCGGTGGTCCCAGGAGGCGGTTATTTCCATATTCGCAATGCTTGCGCGAATTCATGTTTTTTGTTTTTTCTTTCGTTTTGTTTTTCTATTCCCCAAGTATTTATAGAATGGGAATGGGATTGATAGCAAAGTGCACTTGAAGCTTGAGAAGCTGAGCTGCGCAATCAGGCTGTAAACCGGCCCGCTGCTTGGACTCCTTGGCCTTGATGGCACCAGCTGCGTGCTGCTATGTTCCCCAGATGCCTCCTGGAAGGCGTAAAATCTGTCTCGGCGCAGACCAACTGCACGCTGTCCCCATAGTTCCCGACCCTGTGGCAGGTATCTGGCCTGATTTGTGTCTCAATCCCTTTCTGCACTATTCCAGGAGGCTGTTGGTGCCACTACAGATGAGGAGCAGCTGGTCAGAATGCAGGACGTCATCCAGCAGCTGCCCGCTCCTCACTACAGGTCAGTGCTGCCTTCAGTCTGTTGAGCTCAGCTGTGCTGCACTTCAGAGGGCAATGGTGTGATTCCAGGCTTTGTCTGAAGCTAGAAACGTGATGCCTGTGTATGCTGAAGCGGTTGAAGCAGTTTAAGGCTACACGGGGTTAATTTATTGGTTTGGTTCCTGGGCACGGGGGAAAGGTTGTTGCAGCTGGTGGCTGCAGCTGTGCTGTGCTGGGGCTTGGTGCCGCAGCGCGGCACTTAGTCAAGTTGGATCTACTTCATCTTCAGTGACAGTAGCAATAACATGCATTGAGGCTTTGCTCTGTGAACCGCAGCACCGCGTGCTCATTGGTGCTGAATATTTGCCTCTCTTATTTTCCAGGACACTGGAGTACCTGATGAGACACTTGGCTCGTCTAGCCGGGAACTGTTCCGTGACAAACATGCACGCTAAGAACTTAGCAATTGTGTGGGCTCCAAACCTCTTAAGGTAAACTTCT